TTATTTGTGTTCATTTTGTTTTCCTGATACAGGAATCCACTGCTATAAATTTCTCTTTGAGGACTTCTTTCATTGCATCCCACAGATTCTAGCAGTTTGTATGTGCATTTTTCTTTGATTGTAAATACTGTTTAATTTCTACCTTAATTTCTTCTGTGACCTGTTGGCTGTTCAGGAGGGTGTTAATCAATTTCCATGTGTTTATGGAGCGTTTGCAATTTATCTTATTATTTATTTCCACTTTCCTTGCACTATGGTCTTATAATATGCATAGGATAATTTCAATTCCTTTACATTTACTTAAGCATGTTCTATGCACTAGCATGTAGTCTATTTTAGAGAATGACACATGTGCTGCTGAGAAGAATGTGTATTCTAATGTTGTTGGGTGGAATAGTCCATAAAGGTCTACTAAATTCATTTGTTCACATGTTTCATTTAGTTCTGTTATTTCTTTGCTAATTTTTTGTGTAGTTGATCTTTGTGACAATGGGGTGTTAAAACCCCCTGTTACAATTGTGTTATTACTTATTTGATTTTTCACATCTGCTAAGATTTGCCTTATATGATTGGTTTCTCTTATATTTGATGCATATATATTCATGATTGTTATCTCTTCCTCTTGCAGTTTTCCCTTAAGAAGAATATAGTGACCTTCTTTATCTCTTTTAATCATTGTTGGTTTGATGTTCACCTTTTTTGCAAACAGAATAGCTGCTCCTGCTTTTTTCTGGGTTCCTGTCACATGGAGTATTGTTTTCCATCCTTTGACTTTCAGTCCATGGGATTTACTTCTGAGTTAAATGCATTTTTCATATGCAGCATATTGTTGGATTTTGTTATTTTGATCTATTTTGCCAGTCTATTTCTTTTGATTGGTGAATTGAGGCCATTTGTATTAATAGTTATTCATGATATGTCTTAACTTATCCTTGTCATGTTATTTTCCCACTATTGGTTCTGTACTTTTCCCCTGTTTAATTTATTACCTTACTTGGTAGTTCTTTTTTATTGTTGGTCTTGAGATTGTGGTCATTTTTATGTCTTTGTAGAGTATCTTTCAGCAGTCTTTTTAGGATTGGTTTGGTGCTCATGAATTTCTTCAGCTGATCTTTGTCATGGAAGTATCTTATTTCACCATCAATTTTGAAAGACAGCTTTGCAGGGTACAGCAGTATGAGTTGGAAGTTGTTTTCTTTTAGGACGTGAAATACTTCACTCCCAGCTCTTCTTGTCTTGATGGTCTGTATTGAGAAGTTTGCCATGATTCTGATGAGTTTTCCTTCATAGGTAATATGTTTCTTTTCTCTGACAGCTTTTAATATCCTGTTCTTTTGCTCAATTTCTGGAATCTTGATTATTATATGTCTGAGTGTAGATTTATTTTGGTTATGGCTAATTGGGGTTCTATGTGTCTCACTTATGTGTATATAAGTTTCTTGTCCCATGCTTGGGAAATTTTCTGCTATTACTGGTGCAAATAGTCTTTTTATGTCATTCATGTTGTCTCCTGCTCTCTCTTCAACATCTATCAGCCTTATATTGTTTTTCTTTGCCTCATCTTGCAGCTGTTGAGTTGTTATTTGCTGTTCCTTTGTTATTTTTAAGAGATCTTTTCTTTCATGATCACTTGCTGCAATGCTGTCTTAAAGGTCTGAGAGTCTATCTTCCATTTCATTCAAGCAGTTCTTCCAGCTTTCAATGGAATTTTTCATTTCCTGAATGTCTCCTTGAATCTGTATCATGCATTCTAATTCTTTCCTATACTGTTCATTCAAGGTTTCCATCATTTTTCTGTGCTCCTCTATTTTTTTTTATCTATGTCTCCTTCTGATATGCTGAGCAATTCTCTCATTATGTATGGTTATCATTTGTTTTTTTACCTGACCAATTATTTCTGACCTGATTTCCTCTATATCCTGATGTAGTGGGTTCTTTACTTCAGTTGCTATAATTTCAGAGATTTCAGATATGTGACTTCCGTGTTCTTCCATGTTGATGTTTCCTGGACTTGTTCTGGGTGAGATTGGCTGAGATTGCATTTTGCTTCTTTTTGTTGTTTTCAAATCTCCCTCGGTTTCTGGGGATTCAGGTTTGTTCCTGAGATGGTGGCAGGGGATGGATCCAGAGGACCTGGGCCCTGAGACAGCTCACTGAGACCGCTTGAGTCCAAGTCCTCTCCCATGGTGGCAGTGGGGGTGGGACCAGATGATATGGGCTCCTAACCAGCTCACTCAGGCTTCCCAATTCCAAGGCCCCTCCCACAGTCTCTATCTGTCTTTGCAAGTGTCTCAGTCCTGTCCCTCATTGCTGGGACAAAGTACTCAACACTTGCTACTTAAGGGAGGAAAGTTTTATTTTGGTCTATATTTGAGTCCATCCTGGGTCACTCCAAAGAAGAAAGATTATGAGAGAAGGGCACGGTGAAGGAAAAGTTGGTTACCTCAGGACATCCAGGAAGCAGTGCACAAAAGGAGGAGCAAGGGAGGTAGATATGTCTTTCCATTGACCTGCCTCTTTCAACCAAACTCCACCTCCTAATGGCAAAACATTGATACTACCCGCCTAACCAAACACCTTCCAAAGGCCCTGCCCCCAAGTGTATGGGGAACATTTAAACCTCAACAACAGGTGAGGTGTATTTCTGCAAGGCAACGTATAGTTAAATTTTATTTTTTGGTGCAATCTCTCAGTCTGTGTTTTATACTTGGAGAATTAAGGTCATTTATTTTAAGTGTTACTATGGAAATATATGTCATTTTGTATTTTTCCCATTTTTTATCCATTACTGGTTCTTATTTGTTTATTCTTTTCCTTGCTGTTGTTGTGTTCATTGTTTTCTTCCTCTAAGTTTAGGATTCTATTAAGAAACTTTTGCAAGATTGTCTTTGCCATCATGAAATTCCCTAGTTTACACTTATCTTGAAAGGTCTTAATATTTCCCTCAATTCCAACTACTAGCCTTGCAGGGTATAGTAATGTAGGTCAGTAATTATTTTCTTTCAGGGTTTGGAAAACATTGTCTAAAAATCCTCCTAGCCTTTAGAATTTTTGTTGAGAATTGTGTTATTTGGTTTGTTATTTGTTGCCATATTGGTTTGCCATCATAAGTCATTTGGCACTTCACTCTAAAAGTTTTTACTGTTTTATATTTGTTCTGAATTATTGGCAATTCAGTATGGTAGGTTATAGAGAGGTTCTTTATACTAATGTGTATTAGGGATCTAAATGCCTTTAGTATGTGGGCATTGATCTCATTCCCTAGACTTAGGAAATCTCAGTGATAGATTTTCTATGCTATTCTTCTCTATGTCTTCACCTTCTCTGATGCCAATAATTCTTAAATTTGTTGTTTTTAGAGTTGTTCTAGGTTCTTGACTGTTACTTTCATGCGTTGTGATTCTTTTTTCTCTGCTACTGTCTGAATATTCTACTCTACCCACCTTGTTTTGAAGCCCTGATGTTCTTTCTTTTGTTTCTTCAAGCCAATTATGGATACTTTCAATTGAGACTTTTATTTGACTAATGGAACTTTTAATTTCTAGGACTTTGGTTTGGTGCATTTTCAGAATCTTTCTCTTTACTGAAATGGTCTTTTGTATCTTGCATTATCTTAATTCCTCCAGCTGCTTATTCATATTATTTGTCTCACTAATCATTTCAACTATTAGTTTTTAAAATTCTTTGTCTGGAATTTCATCCACTTTAGTACATGCGAGATTAATTTTAGGGAATTATGAATTTTTGAAGAGATCTTATTTCTTTGTTTTCTCAATTCTTGTGTTTTTGTGTTGAGGCCTGAAGATCAGTTGTGATGGATATCTTTAACACTATGATGTGAAGATCTTCAAAGTATCAGTGTCAGTGCCTAGAACCACCTTTTAAGGGAAACACAACTACCACTAGCATCAACATATAAAGAATCAACCACATATTGCAAGCGCAAGGTCGTGAGTTTGGTTCCTGGTACCGGAGAAAAACAAAACAAAACAAAACAAACACAAACAAACAAACAAACAAAAGAATCAACCACATATTAACGTGGAATTTAAAATTTGTTTTGAAAGCTCTCTACTATTTAACTAATCCAGAAAAAAACCAGAGAGTAAAAATGTGGAATAAAATATTGAAAGGCTTAAATGATAATATTCACAGACAAATGAAAGGGAAGGAGCAAGGAGAGATATGAGAGGGTCTGAGAGAAAAGAAAGAAAGGAAGTGTGTAGACATGAAAAGTGAGAGAAGAGACAGGGACACTGAATTCAATTAATGAATAACAAAGAAACAAAGTTAGAAAACTATGAAACAATGATGTGAGAAAACATGACCAAAGAAGGTAGAAAACTGTGGAAGCCAAATCAGTAATTTATAATCACACAGAGAAAGTCCAATATTTTCTTTACAGGGGATATGCATACGGGAAACAATTCTTAGACTTCTTTTGTCAGACACTGCGTCATGTAAAGAAGGCTTCATGTAAGGAAATCTTTTTCAGTCTTAGATTTTATCAAAAGAGAAACCCTTTAGGATAGTGTGGAATGTGAGCTCTCCCCTCCTATGGTAATGAATGGATGCTATGGCAGGATCTCCAGGAGCAGGACTGGATCATACTCAATAGCTTAATTTTTAACATCTGATTTTGAGGGCACAGGAAGAATTTGACTTGTCCATTAAGCTTCTCACTTACATAGTCTGTGGGCAGGGATGAATTGTGGGTCCAAGTTTTATGGATCACTAAGCTTTTCTTCTGGGAGGTTTTGTTGGTCAGTGTTTGTGCTGCCATTTTTACCTCTAATTAGGATGGAGGCCCTCCAGAAGTGTGAGAAAATAAACTTGTATTGTTTAGACCACCCAGTCTGTGGTATTTTTTATGGAAACTCTATTAATCCAATTGAGGCATCTCTGGCCAATGAGAAACATGCAAGAGGAAACAGGGAAAGCTTGCTCTCTCCTGAAAGGGAGCCATAGGAAGATATTATTCCTCTCTCTCCTACTTTAAGGCTATGCCCAGAACACCAGTAGCTGCCCGGAATTCAGTGGTAGGATGTAACCAGGATGGAGATACTAAAATAGCCTAAGGTCTTGATGACATCTGGAAGCTGCTGGGCAAACCAAGCCTGGAGTCTGCCTTCTTCAGGATTTCTTCCTGCAGGAGGTGATGTTTACTTTTTGTTTAAGCCATTTTGAGATAGGTTTTCTATTATTCATAGCTGAATGCATGCTAACATGTTAACTAAATAAGTGTGAAGAGCAGTGGGCTTTGGAGGGGGTAGCACAGGAAACAGATTCCAGAGGAAATAGGAGATAGAATCAACCGGACACAGTCCCTGATTGGAGGCTTGTGGTGAGAAGAAGTGATGTCCCTCAAATAAATCTACCATTCCTAGACTCTTAGGTGCAGTCAATTGTAGACTGCTGTGATTTATGTGCCACTAAGGGTATAAGGTGTATGACAGAAGATGTCAAAATATGAAAAATATATCTTGATATCAGTGAAACAAAGCACAAAAGAAATATATAGCTTTCTCTTTTTGTGTGTGCAGGATTTATGGTTACATTGAACAAGAAATAAAGTATGCATTTGAGTTGCCTATTTTTTAAACAGGAGGCCTTGGAACACTGACTCTGGTAGCCAGCTGGGCTTCTCTTTATACATTTACAATTCTTAGAGAAAAATTGTGAGCAGTCTCCATATGGTAAGATGTGTGGCATGGCAGCAGCCCTTCCAGTTCCTCAATATTGTGGACCAAGAATTTTTGGAAGCCACTAGGCACCACGTCCTATGTTGCTCCCATAACTAATGTTGGGCATCAAGAATTGGCCCTTGAGCTGGGTGTGGTGGCACATACCTGTAATCCCAGCATTCAGGAGGCTGAGGCAGGAGGATCGTTGTGAGTTTGAGGCCAGCCTGGGCTACAAAGTGAGCTCAAGGCCAGCCTGAACTGCATAGTGAGACCCTTCCTCAAAAAAGACAATAAAAAAAAAAAAAAGAAAGAAAGAATTGGCCCTTGAATCTTCACCATACTCAATTGTCAATATTTGTGGAACTCTGGGAGTTATGCTTCTCAGCTGACCAATGCATGGTAAACTTCTTAGTCCCTTTTTGGATGACCTTGATCTTCATGAGAGGTCAGATGGCAGCCCCAAGGCTGAGTTTGAGATAGTGCCACCACCATAGAGAGCAGTAAGTAGAAGAAAGAGACCAAAGTATATATTTCTGTGGAGCTTTACTTCATGGCTGCTGTTTTATTTTATTCTATACATGTATCTGAGTATTTTGTGTAAATCACTACATTGAATCTGCAAAGATAGACAATGACCAAGAAGATACTCATGATCTTTTCCTAAGGGTTGTGAGATCATCAATACTGAAATAATGATAGCTGGGTGGGCTCACAAATGTCTGTAATCCCAGTGCTCAGAAGGTTGAGGCAGGAGGACTGTTGTGAATTTGAGCTGGCCTGGGCTGCATAGTGAGCTCAAGTTCAGCCTAAACTACATAGTAAGACCCTGTCTCACCTCTAAAAAACACCACAGTGATGTTTAGTAATGGAGTATTGCTGAGGGGAGGCTGATCAATTTTATTACAGCTGAAAGTGGAAGGGGAAATTTGAGAACTGCAGAATGACATAAGAACAGGAACGATATCCAGGTTTGGAGCATCAGCTGAGTTTGAACTGACTTATTCCCAAATGCGGTGGTTAGTTTGTGTAGAATGAGAAAGCTAATAGCAAAGTAGTGTGTTCTTGTATGAAACTGAATTTATTCAAGCTAAAGATTTAGATGTATTCTGAATCTGTATTTGATGTTGTTTTCATTTTTTGTTTTCTTTTGAGCAGAGGAGAAAGCCAGAGTGCAACAGTGCAAGAAAGCCACCTGCGTCTTTATTGTATAGTTCTTATACAGTCTGTTATCTCATATTTACACTCTTGTAGAGTGCTGTAACTAGCGCATGCATATTTACCTGGGTTAAGTCATGATTACACAACTGTATCCCACTGTGAACCTGTGCTAGACAAGCAGGGCAATGCCCTCATGTGTCCTTAGATGCCCCTGAGCTTTGAAGCAGTCTGAGTGGCTCCCCACATCCTACCCCCTCAAAGGTCCAGGGTGCATAAATGTGACATTCTATATGTGACATGGCACAAGTACTTGTAGTTAACAAATCAAGATCTATTTTGTTGTTAAAACTACCTTTTGCTATGGAATGATGAGGATAGTGTATATAGGTACATTTTTCAAAAGTTTTAACTTTACAGGAAAGACAGGCAAAAACAAACAAAACAAACAAACAAGCAAATACTCAACAATCAACATGAACGTTTATTAGTCTGCTCATCTTTTTTTTATGTTTGTTGCTTAGATAATAGGTCCATGAAATCCACAAATCAGGAAACAGTGCTAGTAAAAGAGCTTTCAACTCTGGCCTTTGCAGTCTGCTAATTCTGTTAATCATTAGTAACTTAAAAAATTTCCCCTTTAGATATCAGAAGTCTCATTGCCACTGGGTATTTCTCCATAAAGTGCAAGGCCTCACCCCCTGTCAGGAGTCTCTAGAGGAAGTGCGCAGACTCCATTCAGCTGGAAATTCTCAGCTTTGTGCTTGGTGAGGAGAAAAGAGGGCTGGTATCTGGATCATAGGAGAAGATTAATTTCAGCTCAAGTATGTTCTAGGTCCCAGAGATGTTTAGAGTTTAAAAAAAGACACAGGGCTTTTGTGTCTTTGTAGCACTAGATAAGAGTAGGGCTGTGGGAATAGAGAAGATGGTCAGGATAGTGACCCTTATCTTGCTTTTCTTTAGATGGCAATGGTCAGGATCAGTATCCCGCTGATTCTCATGGTGGCCACTGGGGGATGCAGCACAGGTGAGTCTCCTCCCAGGAGCCCTGTCCTCCCTCTTACCAGTTGTGTTGGGAGAAAACAAGTAGGCTGAGTTATTACCAGGGTCTTGGTCATTTCTAGGACAGAGACAATGTCTTTGAGATGCACAGAGGCACACTGGATGCAGGGTGACTGCAGATTTCTGGCCTCTTGAGGGGTTTGATGTGTACCAGGGAGGGTGTTGCTAAGGCCTGTCCTGGTTCCATGCTGTATGACTTGATGTAGCCCTGAGGAGACTCTGGCAGGAACTGTATATCCTCCCGACCATTCACCACTCCTGTGGCTGTGGCCTTGGGGCTTGTATTGCAATTGCAGGGTTTTGCTTTCTGCCCAGGGAATGTTCTATTCCCGGGTGTACACCAAGAACAAAATGGCATTTCACAATCTGTTTTCTCTTCTTTGTTATTTTAAAAAACATTTTTCTAAATATTTCACTTGATCTCCACAAAAGTGATAATTATTAGCTCCTTTTTAGGCATGAGGAAACTGAGCCTCAGATATGGTAAGCTGGGATACTTGACCTGTAAGTGTTCAGCTACTTGGCCTTATGTGTTGAATGGAGAGGACACTGGCCGTCTCAGGGGCTTTCAACCCAGGCAGCAGAGGAATGAGTGTGAGATTGGTGATGAGGGGAGGCTGGGTTTTCTGTCAAAGCAGCTGTGAGAACAAAAATCTGCATTTTCTCTAGCTGTGGCCGATATTGATCCTGAGAAAGAGACCTGTTCTTGGTCTCCATCTCTGCCCCGAAGCTGTGAGGAAATCAAAGAGAGGTGTCATGACTCCCATGGTGAGTGGTGATGCTTATAAATAGAGCCCAGCCAGGCATTCAGACTTTGTCTTCTGAGAGGTTTGTTTACTTTTTAAAAATATCGTAAAATATTATCCTTTTGAATAAAGTTTTCTGTTTTAACAGGGTTTCATTTTGTGTGCATTTCAGTGGCATAAATTACATTCACAGTGTTGTGCAACTATCATCACTGTGCATCTCTAGGAATTTATTACCTCAGATACAAACTCTGTGGCCATCACGCAGTGAAGCTAGTCTTCCTTCCTCCTGCCCCTGGGTAACTGCTATTCTACCTTCTGTTTCCGAGAGTTTGCCTATTCTAGTTCCCTCATGTAGGTAGAATCATAATGTATTTGACCCTTTGTGTTTTTCTAAGCTCACTTTGCATAATGTTTTCAAGGTTTAGCAATGTTTTAACATACATAATTTATTCCTTTTTCTCATATATATAGTACATCAATAAATATGTACTATCTATAATTTGTATACACACACCAGGCTTTTTCAGTCAATCACCTGTTTAGGAATGCATGGGGTCATGTCTACTTTTTGAGTCTTGTGACCGGTACTTCAATGAACATTAGTGTACAAATATGTTGGGGTTTAGGCTTCTAGTTCTTTCAGATATATACTAGTAATGGAATTGCTGAGTCATTGATAAATTTATGTTTAACTTTATAGGAAATGTCCCTGGTAGTGTCAATAATTCTGTTGTAGGTCAGTCATCAAGGCAGTCTTCTGAACTGAAGGGGAATCCGGTAGCCATAGGACCCATATTGGTAGAATCAGGAGAGGAGCCTTTAGGGAGTTTTCTAGTTCCTATAGCTGTTTTGGATACTGGGCTGAAATGGACAATGAGCCCTCAGACGGGCTGGTGTTCTCTACAGATGGCCTGTACTTCCTCCGCACCAAAAATGGTGTCATCTACCAGACCTTCTGTGACATGACCACTGCGGGTGGCGGCTGGACCCTGGTGGCCAGTGTGCACGAGAACAACATGTATGGGAAGTGCACGCTGGGCGATCGCTGGTCCAGTCAGCAGGGCAACAGAGCCGACTACCCCGAGGGTGATGGCAACTGGGCCAACTACAACACGTTTGGGTCTGCAGAGGCGGCTATAAGTGATGACTACAAGGTTAGTGGCCTCTTGCCACTACTGTGGGAAGGGCGGGTGTTGGGTGTAGCTGGGCCACAAGCAGGCAGAAGAGAGGGTTGAAAGGTGGCTGTGGTGCTAGGGTAGAGTAGTTGGGCAAAACACATGCCTCGAAACCCTCCTTCATCTCATCAAAGCCTTGAGCGATCTGGGTGGTGGTGTTAAAAATGGGGTCTGGGTGCAGCTAGCCATCTCCCATTTGAATCCCAGAGCTGTCAGCTTAGTCAAGTGAGGGAGATCACTGTGTGTATCTTTACTTTTGTGGGTCCTGCACTGTTCAGGCTCAGTGTGGGTTGCTTTTCAGAACCCTGGCTACTATGATATCCAGGCCCAGAACTTGGGCATCTGGCATGTGCCCAACAATAGCCCCATGGAGAACTGGAGGAACAGCTCCCTGCTGAGATACCGCACCCAAACTGGCTTCTTCCAGCATGTGGGACACAATCTGTTTGGCCTCTACCAGGTACACAGGGCTGCTGGCTGTGCTGATTTCTGTGGGTCTAGAGAGCAGCAGGTGCTTGAGATTGTGCTGAAGAATCTCTCTTCCATGTTCCCTGCACCTTAGTTTGCAGATGGCTTCTGTCCTGCTTCTCTCAGAAACCTTGACCAGGAAGGGAAGAGACTTATTTGAAGTAAGATTTGGGGTAGAAAGACAGAGAATGAGAGAGGGAGTTTCAGGAGAGGAGAAGAGAGAGAAGTAGGGAAGGGAGAGAGAGAGAGAAGGGGAGAAAGAGAGAGAGCGAGGGAGGGAGAGAGGGAAGGTAGAGAGAAAGAGAATGCAGTTTCAAGGTCTTTTGGAGGAGCAGAGCCAGAGGGAATGATTCTTATGTTGGCTGGTTTTGAAGTAGTCTCTGTTATTGAGAAAAGACTGTTTTTCCCTGTTTGAATGGCAACATCCTGTGAGAGCCAACCCTATTGTCCTGACTCAATGCCTTCTTCATTTCCCATAGAAATATCCAGTGAAATATGGAGCAGGAAAATGTTCGACTGACAATGGGCCTGCAATACCGGTGGTCTATGACTTTGGCGATGCTCAGAAGACGGCAGCCTATTACTCCCCCAATGGCCGCAGTGAGTCCTCAGTGCTCCTCTGAAATCTTTGTAGGAAAGATGATAAATTCAGTTACTACAGGTAGCAGATATCTGTCACTTACTGCAGCCTGGTTCTCCTCTACAAATATTCTATGTACAATATTGTCTCACTTAATCTGCACAGCAACCTTTGACGCCTGAACCAGTATTGATTCCTTAGTACATATTAGGAAACAAGTAGGGAGTGGCTTAGGAATTTATATTATTTCAAAGGCACACCGGGGTTAGGAAGAGAATTTGGACTGGAGAAATTTGCCTCCAGACTCTGCTCCTAGCAACCCTATTACCAGTCCTTCAGTAAGTTGTTAGGAACAGGCCAGGCCTACGTGCACAGGACAGAACAATGCTGAGACAATTATATTTCTACTGTGAGCGGTAACTATAAGTTTGTTAAATGTGAATCTAAGTTAAGCATCATATCCATCCTAGAGGCTGAGCCTGTGCTATAAAATGCACAGCTGTTATTGTGTACATCTGGGCTTTGAGACTTTAAAGTGAAAGAAAACAAGAAAGGCGTGAAGAGCATCAGTGTGTGTGGGAGTCAGTGGACTCTTGGTGGTCCCTGGGAGAAAATGGTAAGAGAATTTAGAAAATAAAGACAAGAGACTATAGCCGGGGTCAGGTGGAGTTACCTGTTGCCCGATGAGCAAGAAGACTGACCTCAACAGTAGGGGGCGTTTATTTTATACACTTGCAGAGTAGTGTCATGAGAGATAATGTTGCCTAGCGACTGACCACTGTAATTGTCCAAGCAGGATTCCTTTTTCAATACTGAGGTAGCTTGACTGTCTGAGGCACTCTGGCTCTGTCCGCCCTCACATATATGACCAACAACCAACTCCAGCGGCTCCCAACAGTGTGAGTGCACTTGCCAATTTCTGTGATGTGCCCGTAGTGATGCTAGTGGTGATTTTCTTGCATTGTTGAGTTTGTCTTTCTACCAGCCACTGCCAGTGCAGTGGCACCTTGTAAGGACCAGTTCTTGGGCTCTGGGGTATGGCAAGGTCCCTCTTGGCTAGGCTTGGGCTTGGCATAAATCATTCGCTGGGCACAGTGGTTTTGGCTCCACTGGTGCAGGTGAAGTGTTGGGCTGGAACCTGGATCTGGCATAGACAGTTTCTGACCTGGCCCATGGGAAGCTATTTCCACTATCTTCCTTGAATTTTGTTTCCTCTTTCTTGTTTCCAGATGAATTCACTGCAGGATATGTCCAATTCAGAGTATTTAATAATGAGAGAGCAGCGAATGCCTTGTGTGCTGGAATAAAGGTCACCGGGTGTAACACCGAAGTTGTGAGTTTTTGTGGTCACCAAAGGGACTTTTGGCAATGCTGTGTTTGTCATTGTGTGTGTGTGTGTGTGTGTGTGTGTGTGGGTAGTGTGGTTTTCCCTTGTATTCCCCTGGCTCTTGGGGATGAGAGGCATAGATCTCTCTGTCCAGGTAGAGACATTCTGCCTTTTTGAGGACCAAAATGAAGGACTGAGGTTCAAATCCTCCCTTGATATTTGCTCAGATTTTGTCATAAAAGATTTAGTTGCTTGTGGTTAGGTTGAGGCTTATGTTCAGGAACAGCATGTGAAACATTTTGGAGCTAAGACTGGCCAACACCCGGCCTTGTCATTCTCCACCCGAGGTTTCATTTTCAGAATAATATGTGGCATTCCCAGTCACATCCAGGGCTTCAATAAATGCACACTGTGGAGGGACCACGAGGAGAGTCCTGATATCTTTCAGTGGATCTCACCCAACCTACACTTGTCCCCCACCAGAGGACTTTGGCCTGAGGTCATCATGGGGACTGTCAGTGCAGGTGTACTCAGCTGTCACCTACAGCAACCCTGTGTCCCCCTAAGTCAGAGAAAATTAAACTCATGTTGGTTTTTTTCCCAGCCAATAAGTCTTTTGGCCAAGAGATGATGATGAGGGTGCTCTTGAGCTGTCCAGGCTGAGCATGCTCACTTGGGACCCAGCCATCCCCACCTTAACAGTCTGCAAAAAGTGTCCTGAACTACTGACAGGTGACCTTGAAGACCTTCTTTCATAGCTCAGCCATCAACTTGTCTCTTTCCCAGTTAGGATGAGGCAGCTTTGCTGTCAAGGAGGACCCTCCAGTCATAATGGAGAATGATGACTGGGGGGCACTGAGGGGACAGGTCTCTTTGTGACAACCTGTCTTCCCTGGCGTCTCTCAGCCATGGCCCAAAGCACGAGTAATGCAGTGTGCACGGGCACCACCCACTCTTTAGAAAAGCTTGCAGGGGTCAACTAACCTGTACTGTACAGCCACACAGAGTATGTGTTTTTGTCCATCGTCTAGCAGGATACTGACACAAAGATGGCATTACTATGTGAAGACTCTGAAGTATAATAGATATATAAACAAGGGGCCTTGGAAGGAGCTGAGTGTGAGTGCTCACCTCATATGTGTGAAGCCCTGGATTTGGTGTTCAGCAATCCCTCCAAAAACAAAACAAAACAAAACAAAACAAAACAAAACAAAACAAAACAGAAGCAACTAGGAGCTACAAAAGCATGTTACCATGCTGAGGGTAACAGAGCACTGGCTACAGAAAAGCTTAACTTGCAGGCTGATTCTTGAGAAATAGGTAGAAATCCTTGAGGTGTTGATGCAATTTGGGTTGAAAGAAGAGTATGTTCAAAGCCACTAGTGTTTCAGAAAGGATGTGATGTTGAGGGAGCTGCAGGGTGTTTTGCAGCCTTGGTGTACAGAGTGTAAGACCAAGAGAGTCCTTCCATCTTTAAGGAAGAGGGAGATGTGTGCCCTGGTAGGCAGCAGCACCTAAGGTATTCATGAAGAGTCTCAGCAGGGACACTGAGTATGAATGTTCAGAAAAGTGGAAAGAGAGTCAAGAGGAGACATGTTGGAAATAAAGCTAAAGTAAGAGAGGTTTTTATGGGTGTAATAGATGAAAACCACCAATGGAAATTCCCAATGTGGAACAAAGACATAGCCACTGAGTTATGTTTAGCTTCACTAGCTGATCTGTTATTACCTGTTCATCTCTTCCTCCTTTTGTAGCACTGCATTGGTGGAGGAGGTTACTTCCCCGAGGGCAATCCCATGCAATGTGGAGACTTCTCTGCCTTTGACTGGAATGGATATGGAACTCATATTGGATGGAGCAGTAGCCGGGAGATAACTGAGGCAGCTGTGCTTTTGTTCTATTGCTGACACCATCTTGCTAAGGGACCTGTCCATCTTTTCCCAGCTGCTAGGGCCTAGTGATGGATGCTAACTTGCCTAGTATGTAGAATGCCAGTGGCTGAGGAAAGGGAAATAAAGCATTTTTCTGGAAGACTTGGTGTTTCTATGAATTCTTTTCATGCAGGGGTGGGTGAAAAACTGAAGAATTTTCAGAAGAGTGCATATTGTGGAATGATTCTATGTCAACCTCTGTAGTGCTTGGAGTGGTAGAATTTAGCAATTCTGATAGAGGAAGATGTCAGCCCCACAGGACCCTCTGAGGAAGCCCCTTAAAATAGGAGAAGGAATAAAGGGCAGGGTGGAGGCATTTTATCTAACCCCTTCCTAACTCATCTCTGTGGACTAACAAGTAGAACCTGAATATTTTAAAGAAGATAATAGCAGTGCACCAAAGAAGAAATGGATTACCCACATTCATATTTGGTCCATTCATTTGTGGCTATGGCTTTTTTCTTATGGAAAAATGGCCCTGACAGGTGAATGATGATGACTTTTTAGTATCCAACCCTACTGGGCTTCCATCTTTAGAGGCTTGTTTCAAAGGAACCAAGTGGTGGAATAATCATCATGGTGTTGTTGGTACAGATGGGATGGACAAAGACATTAGTCTTGACACTTGACTAAATATTAGGCATTTTGTTGAGTTTTCCTCTAGAACAAATGTATCATTCTTTCAAATTTTTATTTTTCAATACATGATTACATTCATTGTGGGTAGTTGGTACATACATAACTCACAACTATGCCCCTTCTAGGTATTTTCTCAAAAGTGATAATGACATCATATCACAATGGAGTGTGCTTACCAATGTATATAGCAGCATAATTCATTATAGCTAAATATTGTAAATAGCCTATATGTCCATCAACAGATGAATGGATAAGGAAATGTGATATTTATGCACAAGGGAGTATCATCCTGCCATAAACAAAGAGAAATTTGAGTCATTTGTAGGTAGTGAGATGCTCCTCAAGAGGTAGTATTAAGCAAAGTAAATCAGATATATGAGCTTAACTATCACATGGCTTCACTGATATGAGGAACCCAAGGCATAAATAACTAATGAATAGAATAAAGGATAGATAATAGAAAACAGAGAGTTAGATCTCTTGCAAATGGGAAGGAGACCAAGAAATGGAGTAAGGGGTGAGGGAGGGGAAATGTTGGGTGCATAAAAATAATTAATATGTGTTAATTCCCATTCTGTAGGTTGTCACTTCATTCTCTTGCTTGTTTCCTTTTCTGTGCATATGCTTTTTAATTTAATATGACACCATTGTTTATTCTTGATGTCATTTCTTGTATAATTGATATTCTGTTCAGAAAGTCCTTGCTTATGCTTATGCCTATGCCCATGACTATGCCTATGCATATGCCTTCAAGAGTTTTACCTCTTGTATCATCCAGAAGATTAAGTGTTTCTATTTTAATATTATTATGGTTTATATCTAGTTGTGCCACCAAAACCTCATGCAGTCATAGGCGAGGCTTTTTGAGGTGGCTGGATCTAGTGTGTGTGATGCTCTTAATAAGGATGTGATGCTGGGATTAAAGGTTTCCCACTCTGGGTTTGGGATAAAAGGAAGGCAGGATTTCTGCTGCTTTCTGCTTTTGCTGCCTCCTGCCTTCCATGCTATGAACTATTGTTTCTCCTCTACGTGATGGCCCTGCCTTGGAGCCAGTGTTCTATGGACTGAAACCTCTACAAATTGTGAGCCAAATAAACCTTTCCTCCTTTAACTTGTAGGTGTCAGGTATTTTTGTCTCAGCAAGGGGAAAATAACTAAGATGGATTTTGGTATGAAAATGGGAGTTGTTGTGACTGTACCTGACCATGTGTTTCAGGAGTCTTTGGAACTGGATCGGGGGAAGAGTTTGGCAAGATTTGCAGATGCTGGCTGAAAAAGCAGCCCAGGAATGGAAGGTGTACTTGATGGGAGATTCTGCTCTCAGCTCAGAAGACCAGAATGCAGATATAAAAGCAGCCAGCAAAGACCAGGATTAGGAAATTTCAGTTAGAAGCAGGGACTGCATTGGTCTTTGGACTCCAGATTATGGGTGTTAAGCTTTAGCAGAAAATCTGTGTTTATTTTGCTTATGTCCAGACTTTGCCTGCAACTGAGATAAAGGCTGTTGAACTAATTAACCTAGCAGAAGAAATTTCAAGACTGTGTAATATAGAAGTGATCGGACCACTACTGTTAGGTGCTTTAGCCAGATTTATGTTGAGAATCAAGAGCAGAGAGCCCAGCAGAATGACTTCAAATGTTTTGAGTTTGAGCAGAAAGAATAACCAGTAAAGTTTCAGCCTATGAAAGATGGAACAGAAAAGAAACTGGTCACTGAAAAGACTAGCAACAAAAACTAGCAACTTGTCAGCAACTTGTAAAAACTAGCAACTTGTAACTTTACTAGCAACTTGTAAAAGCAAGTATTTTACTAGAGGAAATAGAAAAGATGGCCTGAAGACATTAAAAGAAGTGGCCAAATTCCCTTATTTGCAGCCTCAAAATTGCAAAGGTGAAAAAAGATTTTGCTTTGAGAATGAGCCCTGGAACTCCATGTTGCAGAAAGGCAACAGCCTAGGGACGTTGTTTTTGGGGCTGGGTTCACAGCACTAAGCAATCCAGGTACTCAAACCTTACAGGCAAGAAAGAAGTGAGCCTGTCTATTGCTCCAGCTGGCAGAAGACCCTGGAATTATCCCTGTGGTGCTGATTTTAGGGGCATACAGAATGCAAATGCTGTGGGGTCAGGAAGACTTCCACCCAGATTTCAGAAGGCTTGAGAGGCCAGGCAGTGTGCTCCTGTGAGGACAATTTGTGGAGCTGTGTGTGTGAAATTGAAGGTGCAGTGGAGATTCCAGAAGTTTGGAGAAGCCAAGAATGTGAATCATCTGAGGAAATTCACAAGGAGTGAGCAAAGCCAGCCCAAGAGAGGAATCACGAGAGCTACAACTACCAGCAATGCCATTGGGCAGAGTCAGTCAAGCCCTTTGGAGTTCACATCTTGCCACAGATGGGGTCAGATGCTGAACATGGAAGTATGGAACTTAATATTTGCCCTGCTGGTCTTTGGACTTGCTCTGGTCCCCTTCCTTTTTATTCCCTTCTTTGAATTTTTTGGGATGGGAATATTTATCTTGTGCCACTGTACATTGGAAGTGTTTAGTTATCTTTTCATTTGAGCTTGCTGCTAAGCATTTGCCTAAAATTTCAGAGGAGTCTTTGGATTTGGACTTTTCATCAATGCTGAAAATGTGAGACCTTTTACAACTTTTAGAGATTGACTAAATGCCTTTTTCAAAAAGGATATACATGAGTCTTTTGAGGGCCCAAGGTCGATTGTATGGTTTATATCTAATGTCTTCCCAAAGCCTCATGCACTCATAGGTGGGGATTTTTAGAGGTGGATGGATCTAAGATGCATGATGTTGGAACTAAAGTTGACCCACCCTGTGTGTGTAGGGTACCATCCAAAATAGTGGTAGCCTGGAAGGGGTAAAAGGAAGGCAGGGTTGCTGTTGCTGCTTCCTGCTTTTGCTGCCTCCTACCTTCCATGCCATGAACTATTGCTTTTGCTCCATGATATGCCTCTGCCATGTGGCCCTGCCTTGGGTCAGGAGACTATGGACCAAAGTCTTTTCTCCTTTAATTTGTGGGTTTCTGATATTTGATGCGTTTTGATTTTAGCTTACTACATAGTGAGAAGTATGGGTTTACATAAAATTTTCTGCACAAGTATAAGCAGTCTTCTCAGAAACATTTGTTAAAGAAGCTATGCTGTCTCCAATGTATGGGTTTTCTTTTTTGTTCTTTCCCAAGATCAGATCATATAATGCCTGGGGTTTTTCCTCTATTCTGTTCCATTGAAGCACATGTCTGTTTTTGAGCCAGTATTATGCTCTTTTTATCACTGTAGCTTTGTAATATAATTTGAAACCTGGAATTGTGATGCCTCCTGCTTTGCTCGTATTGCCCAGGATTACTTTTGCTATTCTGTGTTATGGTTCCATATGCCTTTTTGGGTCATTTTCTGCTGTTGGCATTTTGATTGGGATTGCATTAAGCCTGTATACCATTTTTGAAAGTATGGCCAGTTTATCATTTTTGATTTTGCCTATCCAGGAGCAAGTGAGAGTTTTCCATATTCTGCTGTCCTTTCTGATCCCCTTTTTCAGAGTACTATATATATATTTTTAGCGAGGTCATTCACTTCCTTTTTTAGGTGAATTTAGGTATTTGACTCTTCTTGAACCTTTGTGAACTGTACTATTTTCCTAACATCTTACTCAATGGATTCATTTTTGATATACAGAAAGGCTATTGATTTTTTTTGTTGATTAGCAGCCTACTACACTGCTGGATTTATGTATTAGCTCTAGGAGTGTTTGATGGAATTTTTTGTGTCTTCTATATGAAAGATTGCATCATCTGTGAATAAGAATTTTGAGGCTCAGAGTGGTGACTCATACATATAATCCCAGCACTTGGGAGGTTGAGGCAAGAGGATCGCCATGAGTTCAAGGCCAGCCTGAACTACAAAGTGAGACCCTGTCTCAAAAAAAGTTTGACTTCTTCCTTTCCTACATGTTTCCTTATTATTTCCTTCTCTTGCTTCATTGTCCTGGCTGAAGTTTTGAGCACTGTACTGAACAGGACTGCTGAGAATGGACATCCTTGTCTTGCTTCTGATTTGAGATCAAAAGCTTTAGGCTTTTCTTCATTTAACATGATGTTGGTAGTAGGTTTGTCATGAATGGCTTTTATTACATTGAAGAAAAGTCCTCCTATATCCATTTCCTTGTGGGTTTTTATCCTGAATGGATTTTCAATCCTGTCAAAGCTTTTCTTTGGCATCTATTGAAATAATCATATGATTTTGTCCAATGTATATGGGATATACATTACATTTATTGGTTTGTGTATATTGAACTATCCATGCCTCCCTGGGATGAAGCTTACCTGGTAGTGATGTATGAACTTTTAATTATTTGTTGCATCCTGTTTGCCAGTATCTTGTTGAAAGTTTGTCATGTATGTTTATTGAAGAGACTGCCTTGTAACTTTCTTTTTTAGTGGAGTCCTTGTT